CCAACCCCCCCCCCTGCATGGGCGAAGGTGGCAGATCGGCGTTTACGGGCGAGGGTTAAGCTTTCCTTTTTTACTAGAGCTACATAGACTCATAGAGCTACATAGACTCATACATAGAGCTCTGACAGCCCGAGCCGAGTTTCCCGCTCCTTGTCGATAATTGACTTTGCCACTTAACCTTCCCTTCCCGCTCTCCCCTGGCTTTCTTCCCACCCTAGGCTGTCCCTCTCGTCTGCTACCTGTCACTTACCTTGCCGGAGTGTTCCTATCATTCGTTTCCTAAAATACCTGCTCTCCTTTCCTCAGATACTTACCATGCCTCGATCGTACACGAGAAAAACGTCAAGAGGTCAGTGGACGAGGGCGGCGATGTATGCCGCGTTGGAGGACGTCCAACAAGGGAAGTCAACTCTAAAGGCTTCTAAGGACCACGGTGTCCCTCGAAGCTCCCTGCAGCGCCGACTGTCGGGACAGTGTCCACTGAAGGCGCCACTGGGGCCACGTAAGCCGGTCTTCACCCCACAGCAAGAGCGCCAACTGAAAAATCATATCATCGAGATGGAAAGGATGTTCTTTGGATTGACACAGACGGATGCTCGCCGACTCGCGTTTCAGTACGCGGAAAAGAACAGGCTGAACCACAGGTTCAAGAACGGCATCGCCGGAAAAGACTGGCTAATAGGCTTTTTGAAACGCAACAAGGACTTGTCGCTGAGAACCCCCGAGGCGACCTCAGCGGCACGCGCGAAGGGGTTCAACAAGGAAGTGGTGTCGAAGTTTTTTGACATCCTGGTGGAGGCCGGCAAGAGCGTGAAGGGGCCACACGTCGTCTACAATGTAGATGAAACAGGAATCACGACAGTGCAAAGCAAGCCAAGCAGAGTGCTGGCGCAGAAGGGAAGGAAGCAAGTCGGAAGCTTGACGTCAGCAGAACGTGGGGAGCTGACGACAGCGGTCGTTTGTATGTCGGCAGTCGGCAACTTTGTTCCGCCGATGATGATCTTGCCGAGGGCCAGAGTGAACAAGAACCTTGAGGAAGGCGCACCACCCGGGACCGTATTCGAATACCATCCATCGGGCTGGATGCAGACCGACATCTTCACCCGCTGGTTCCAGCACTTCATCCGCCACGCAAAGCCCAGCGCGGAAGAACCAGCACTGCTCATACTGGATGGACATATGACGCACACCAGAAATCTGGATGTGATCGAGATGGCCAGGGCCAACCATGTCACCATCGTGGTCATCCCACCTCACACGAGCCACCGCCTTCAGCCGCTGGATGTGGGCTTCATGAAGCCTCTGAACACCTTCTACGTCCAAGCCATCGAAAAGTTCTTGAGGCAGAACCCGGGCCGAGTGGTCACGCTGTACCAAATCGCCCGACTGTTCGGCGAGGCCTACCTGAAGGCAGCAACCCCGGCAACGGCGATCAACGCATTCAAAAAATGCGGCATCTTCCCCATCGACATGGACGTATTCGCTGAAGAAGACTTCAGCCCGTCTGACGTGACGCATCCGGTGCGTCCGTCAACACTCGCCGCAGAAGAGGAGGCATCGAGTCTTTTGGACGAGCCGACAGCCGGGCCATCCGGTCTCCAGGCCAGCGAGACGACAGCCGGGCCATCCGGTCTCCAGGCCAGCGAGCCGACAGCCGGGCCATCCGGTCTCCAGGCCAGCGAGCCGACAGCCGGGCCATCCGGTCTCCAGGCCAGCGAGCCGACAGCCGGGCCATCCGGTCTCCAGCCCAGCGAGACGACAGCCGGGCCATCCGGTCTCCAGGCCAGCGAGCCGACAGCCGGGCCATCCGGTCTCCAGGCCAGCGAGCCGACAGCCGGGCCATCCGGTCTCCAGGCCAGCGAGACGACAGCCGGGCCATCCGGTCTCCAGGCCAGCGAGACGACAGCCGGGCCATCCGGTCTCCAGGCCAGCGAGCCGACAGCCGGGCCATCCGGTCTCCAGGCCAGCGAGACGACAGCCGGGCCATCCGGTCTCCAGCCCAGCGAGACGACAGCCGGGCCATCCGGTCTCCAGGCCAGCGAGACGACAGCCGGCACTACCTCGGAGATCCGCCCGTGCGATATACTGCCACTACCTCGGGCAAATCTGCCGGCAACCTCTGCTGGTGCCAGAAGACGGACCACCCCGGTAGCTGGGCCAGCTATATTAACCAGTTCGCCTGTCAAAAGGGCCCTGGAGAACAGCCTGACGAAACGGAAGCCCACACAAAGCAAGAAGAAGAGGACCAAAGCTTGCCGAAAGGGGAGCGGAAAGGAGCGAGGAGCCTGCGCTGCTGAAGCCGTTGTTCCCTGTTTGTACTGTGGCGAGTCCTTTGGTGACTCAGTAGCGGGCGAGGGGTGGGCATGCTGCACTTGTTGCAAAAAGTGGGCCCATGATGAATGCGCTGGACTGGATGACAACGATGCCAACTACGTGTGTGAGTTCTGTGCTCCGTAAAACATCAGTGTGGACTGTGATTCACTGGCACTGCGCACAGCTCGGCGGAATGGCGCGCACGCGCGCGCGTTCATTGTGTGAAACCGACACCTTTGTCAACGTTTAGCTTAAATAAGTGTTCATGTTTTGGTTGGTGTGTTCAAGTTTTGCATCCGTTTGCCCGACTGTTGGGTTTTGAAATATAGGCAGCTGCTGCTTTGTACTTGGTGTTTAGATAGGTGGAGGCGATTCTCCTATGGCTACTTAATTTCAATTTTCTGCAATAACTAGTAGACGGACACGTAGCGCCGCTGAACGCCATCACTGTGCACTGTGCAGCCGAAGCGGACACTTGACCCTCCCCCTTCCACGCCAGCGCGCTATCCCGACCCAGGCTAGGTCAGCTTATCGACCTTTCCAATGCCGAGTGAAACATTCACCATCGCAGATCGTACATTTTCCGAGCGGTAGCTCGCCGTGCGAAATACATAGTAAATAACATATTATGCCCGTCTTGCCCCCAGACAAAACCCGTCTTACCCTACCTAGTGGGGTAAGACGGGTTTTTGCAGTGTCTCGCTAAACATGTTATCATTTGAAAACTAATAGAGTTAGACCTTAGGTGTCAAAAGGGCAGCGAAAGAGAAATGTCTGAAGATGCCAGAGCCAAAGCGACAAAGCTATCAAAGCAATGACTTCAGAGATACAAGTCAACAAAACTAACATGCCCGTCATACCCCACTTTCCCCTATATGGTCATCAAAAGTCCATTTATTGACCAATCCATTGTTTGACATTCGCCTCGTAGTTTCCCCAACTGATATGTGCCGACTGAAGTTGAAAGACATGTGTAATTATTAGTTATCTAGTGAGTGATGGCCATGCTCACTTGGTACTGGATACCTACATCTGCCTTTGCCTGAAACCTCTTCAGCATGGGGAGTTAAAGGGACCCTCCCACCTTCAAAAAAGTTTATGAATTGGCATGAAAGTGATGTCGCTCGGTTCAGGAAGAGCGGAAACGAATATCTACCAAATTTCACCGAAAAATATTCACCGGTTTTCAAGATATTAGACTTTTACTTTTGTTTACTTTTTTGGGATCTCCGCTGTTTCTAGCGACTTTATTTTAGAAGTGCGGTGTTTGCGGCAGATGTTGCGCGCAAATAGCATATACCACCGCGTGCTACAAAACGTTTTAGTCAAACATTTAAAAATCGTAAGATATCTGCGCTGACGTCACACATTCAGAGGGGTATTCCTAAGCATTAGCCCCTCTGAATCAAAATGCTGCAATTTTGACATTCAATATTTCCGATTTAAAGCATTTCTCGATGTTGTGAGTGCCGAAACCGGTAATTGTGAGCCAGGGACCCCATTTTGGCTATCTCAACTCAAATCTAATGTTAAGGTGGGAGGGTCCCTTTAATGCAACCCTGCCCCATTTTTTTTTTTGCGGAATCTATCCGGCCCAAATTTGGTAAGGCTTCACGTTCATCCTTTATCTCACAATATTGAAATATAACATCCTGTATCAAAATGCTACTTTGGTCATACCATCCCGTCAGGTCAAGTCGCTGAGCTATGACGTCATATACCTACCATGTCATGTTTACCCGAAATAAATGGCTTCGTGATATGAGGGAGATTTCCTGTTTTTAAGCCGATCTCGTCATTGACCTGACTTTGAGGTCAACTTTAGGACCTGGGTCAGATCCTAAAGTCTGGCAACCTGACAATGGTGCCTGACTTTAGGACCTGGGTGGCCTCAGGTCCTAAAATTAGGCACCAGTGGTTTCACATTTCGTGAAAGGCAGTGCGCTGATTTTTTCGCGTAACTTCAGCTCAATTTAGGGACTATAATGCGAAGAGGCCCGCACCCCTCTCCCCCTGCCACGTTTTGCAATCGAAGAATGCTGAATGACCAATGCCGGCGAGTGTTAAATATTTACTTTGCTTGACCTTGTCACTGAATTAGCGCTGACCATGTCAGCAGCTTATGTAAGCTATCCTGATTTGTATCAGATATGGATAAACGCTATATTTCCTCGTAGCTGCAATCAGACTGCTTAGTTGGTACCGGCGTATTTATTGTTGAGGGAGCGGATGCTTTGCCTTCCAACTTCCAAGGATCATAAATATACCTAAGCAACATAGCCAGATGCTGTTTGTGAAACCCCACCTCATCTGAGCCATACATTAGTGCGTCTCCTTGTTTTCATGCTTGAGACAAATAGAAGGAACAGTCTGTGATCGGGCCGGAAATGTTAACGCTTTCGCAACTAGCATCAACTTGTTGAGTCTCAGACCACTGTAATTCACGTATTCAATTACTGAGGGCTAGATCCAATCATCTGAGCTGATTGGTTGATCTGCATACCGGTATATTGCTTATTGATACCTTACTTTGACTGAAGCGCTGTGAAAATGTGGTTGTTTATTGACGCAGTGTACTGAGTGTGAGAGTGAGACTGGCTGACGCGGTACTGACACTGTACTGACGCTATACTGACGCTGCACTGACGCCGTAAAGACGCTGTACTGACTCTGTCCGGCATCCCCAGGAGTGGGCCACTCGTCTCCGGTCCCCGGTGCGCGTCCGGGAGGGAATGGAACCGGTCACTGCGCCGGACCATGACCGGCGGTTCGGCGACTGCGAGTGTCACCGAAGCCGACCCCGGGACGAGCTGTGACCTGACCGGTCACCGGGCGACAGCCGGTGGAAGGTCCACTCTGAGGGGCCCCGGAACTGGCCTCTCAACACACCTCAGTCATCAGTCATCGCCGATCTGTTCAACATGCGCCGAGCGCGGGCTCTGGTCAGTCATCGGCCTGCGTGCTGATGTCACCTCCGCAGAACTGTCACCACCAATGGCGAGCTCGTCACCCGCCGTGCACCTCCGGTGACCGCCCGGTGGCTGGCCATGAACCGGTTGAAACACAGGCGTGGTTTACTCTGCTGACTGCTCCAGACTAAATCAGACTGGCGCGATGTGAGCCAGATGCGCGTGCTATGTCGGGGCCGCCACGGGGGCTGGTCGGGCCGGCTGCACAGGGGCGCTCAGGGGTGTCTTCGAGAAGTCTCTGTCTGTCGTGGCAGACTGGCGGTGGTTTACCGGAGTGGTTAGGGAGGGACTGGGAAGTCACTTGGGCAGGAGACGCAGTGTCCGCATAATCTAGGGTGAGCTGGTATTGCGATCGAAGTCTGGTGGATAGAAGTGCGGCGTTGAAATAATGTAGAATGCTGCAGAACCCGTAATCGGATCGATGTCACTCAACAATATCCTCTGCAGCGTGGAATTGGATTGCAAAAAGGTCTTCCAGGGCTGGCGGCGGATGTTTTGAAAAATGGACCGTTTGGGAATGTGCAGATTCAGATTGTTAGTGCTGAAGAACTATGCTGTTATAGCGTAAACGGTGACTCGTGCCGACTCGCGTGTTTCACGGTAGTGATGTCTCTTTTCTTGTCAGGGAGATTGCGAACTCTGCACTTTGCTCATCAGTTAGGTTTCACTGTTCAAGAAGTACCTTAGCGTTCTAACTCGGTGGGCTGTAACGATGACCAGGTCACGACAGGGCAGTATTTTAAGTGGTCCAAACATTAATACTCAGTACTCACTTGTGCTTCGTAGGCTGAATCATCTTTTCAAGGTATGACTGTTGTGTTGAGTGAAGTGGGAATGCGCACACAGTTATGTATCGCTCCGTATTGTAAAATGCGGCAGGATGTAACGTTTCACAATTGTTACTCTTACACACGCAGGTATTGCTTTGGGTAGTATTCTGTATGCTGGTTTTGTATTTAATGAATACATTTATCTATTTGTAATATGTCGACTCTGCGATGCTGTAGTTTCTTTGTAAATATCACCCCGTGTTAGGTATGAGAACACATCCGCCACAGACTGAACGCTCAGAAGCTTTTTAGAGAACTCTAAGAAGACGCTAAGAAGCTTTTTTCATCACCGTTCAGGTGTCTGCGGTCCCTACATTTTACCCTCGGCATCCTTATCTGCTGGTGGTAGGGCAGTTTCCTATGAAATTGATATCTTAATGGGTTAAGTATTTTGCGATGAACATAGCAAGTATGTGGAGAATCTTTTATTAAACATATAAAATTAAAGCCAACCAGCTTCCGCTGTAAACACTTTGCGGCGCTGAAGTAGGCTGGCCACAGCTCCCGAAGCGTTGCCAAACAGCTCGGTGTTGCCGTAAAAACTGTTTACAGTGTAATTAGAATATGAAAAGTATATTTCCTTCAACCCGCGCCCCGTTGGGGTCTGCCGAGCAACGGGGAGGGGGGGGGGGCAATTTGGCCCCCCTAAGATCTCGAGAACCACGCAACATAGCGACAAGAAGCAAACGGCGTTGGATAGCCCCAACAGCGAACTACCTTGTGGCGCAATTTCATTGACCAAGGTCAAACCGATGACGTCACAGATCAGTTTAAATGTCGAATTTTCACTGTTTACAGGCATTTCAGGAAATGCGTTGTAAAATCGAGTAAAATGCATTTCATTAAAAATCATCGATGGGATATTGTTCGTCAAACACATATTTTGCTATTTGAGGTCACTGATACCAGGTCAGGTCACAGAGGTCAGGTCACTGAGGGTCACAATATGAGAATATCATGTGACGTATGCTTTATGGTCCATTTTATATGCCAAATGCCAAATTGTGTGGGTCAGGCGGCCTTTGGGGGCAGTTTAAATTGTGTCCTGATGAAGGTCAGGTCAAGGTCAGGTCAAATTAGGTCAAATTGCAAAGTTGATATTTGGCATAAAATGGGTATCGATTCGATGCAGCTTGTCACGGGGAGTTCAATGGTGATCTGTGTTTTTCACTACGTACTCTAGAATTTCTAAAAATTGAGTTAAAAATTTGACGTCATCAATTTTGAACAGTTTTTTTTTTGCTATAGGTAACTTGGCCAAAAAAGAGGCATTGATGTAAAAATTGGTATGTAGCTAGAAGAGCGCAGGGACTATCACATGTAGGTTATTGTAGGTATTCCGTTTTTTTCTCGAAATTAACAAATGGGATTTTTTGCGTTTTTCTAAAAAAATCAGTTTTCTTATCCTTCGCCCGTAAACGGTGTTTTGCCACCTTCGCCCATGCAGGGGGGGGGGGGTTGGTGCGACCCCCCCTGGCGTTTGAAAACGGAGCGTCGTAGAGCTTAGCGGAAAAGACCAACGGATTGCTCTCAACGAGATCTCGCGATTGGTGGTATATTTTTTGGTCCTAGGTCAACATTTGACCTACTTATGACCGGTCAAAGGTCAAATTTTCGGAAAAATCTAACTTTTTCAGATTTCTGCGCCGATTGCGGCAAAACGGTCAGAGACATCGACTTGAAACCTTCACTATCGTGATCCTTGATCAATTCTCTATCGTTTGGTGTGTATTTCGATGTCATAACTCTAAAAATGATGCGTTGGGAGCATCGGAAGTCTGCAAGGTCATTTGTGCATTGGGTCACGTCAGGCGTGTGACGTCACTGACCTGACCCTGACCCAAAATGAACTACAAGAAACAACCGACGATGCCTGAAATGGATAGCAAATTCGAATTCAGGGCATCAAAATACCCCGAAAAGGCATACAAGTGCAAGAAGTCATTACAGGTCAACCGAGGTCACTGACCTTACCTTGACCTTTAGTAACCTTCAAAATGTCAACGGACATTGTGCCAATGTCAAATCAGCCAGTTGTGATTCTAAAACAATCCATCAGTGTGTCAGGTCAGTCGGCATTTATACCAATGTGAAGCAATCTCCAATTTAGCGTAAATCTGGCCGGAGGTTGTTCCCTTTATGACGTCATAACTCCGTGACCTGACATGACCTTGACAAAAAAATACCAAAAGTTGCGCAAAGGATGCCCCAGAGGGTACTGAAAATTTGAGCAGGCTATCTGAAACGGTTCGGCGTGTAGCTAAGAAAAACCTCAGGGGGGGGGGGGGTTGCCCTACATGGGCGTGGGTTAGAATTAGAATTTTCTTAGTAACTGTAGCTTTTGTGAGTGTTTCAAGATTTCATTTTTTTTTTTTGCTCATTTTTGCTCGAACATGACCTCAGTTTGACCTTAATAACTCCTGACCTAAGGTGACCTAAGATGAAAAATTTTGTGTGTAGGTGTCAAATTGATGCCTGGGAAGGCACCGAAAATTTGGTGGTGCTGCGCGCCGTCGTTTTCTTGCTATTCAGGAAAAACCACAGGGGGGGGGGGGTCATACTGGCCCTTCAAATTGGGCGAGGGTTAACTCATTCAGAAGCTTAACACCGTCTCATTTTGCCCTATGCAGCAGCCTGGAGCGCTGGCAAGGACCGGATGTTCAGCAAAGGCTGACTACAAAATGATCCATCGCTCTGACTGGGCGTCTGCTGTGCATGGTTCCCGACGCTGTGTAATGTGTATTGTGTAAGGCTTGGACGGCCCGTTGTGCCCACCCCAATCACCACGCGCCTCTGTGGCGTTGTTTTTCTTCCACCGACACGCCTCCCCGGGCGTGTCGAGTTCAAAGGGCGCGCGCTGCGGTCTGTATATAAGGCCATGTTCCCACCGGTCGGCACTCTCAGTCGACACCATGAAGCTGCTGCTGATCGCCTGCGTGTGCGCCCTGGCCGCGGCCGAGCAGCCGCAGCAGACCGTTCCGACGGCCGCTCAGCTGACGGTCGGCCTGACGCACCTGTACCGGCGCTTCCTGCACGCCGTCGCCCCCCGGCAGCTCGAGCTGCAGGATGCGCTCGACATCCAGTGGCGCAACGGCATGATGGCCGGCCCGCCGTTCCGCTCCCCGGTGAGTCAGCGGCCGACGTCGCCGCACAGGCGGCGGAAGCAGATGCAGTGAACCGAGCCGCATCTAGCGCATTCGAATTGATTATCTTTTATAGTATAGCATAACGATAATTGGCTGCAATAGCACCTATTTTTACAGTAAATTTAACAACAATCTTTGACAGCAGTGCATTCATTGTTGTAGTCAAGGACAATGCCTCCTTAGAAACAAAACGTGTAGAAATGGCTATCAGCCAAGGTCTAAGACATCTCATGACGGAAACCTGGCACATGTTTCCCATGACTTTGTTGGCGTACTTTCTAATCCTTTACCGTCTGTTGTGCGACAGGTCCAGGCTACCTTCGGCGGTGTTGAGGCGCCGACCTTCTCCTTCGTGAACAGCATGATCACCCCCGGCCAGAAGGGCTTCTTCGGCAAGTGGAGCAAGCACGACACCTCGGATCTGCTCATGACCTACAACCGCGGCAGCCTGACCAAGGTGAGAAGCGTGATCAGTGCAGTGTCTCCTGGGCCCTGGATAGCCAGATTGTTTGACAACGAAACCCCTTTGCTGCTTTTTTATGACTGGTAACATGTAACGCTGGATATGCATATGACCCTCGATAATATCCTATTCATATCGTGATGGAAGGACCTCTGAGCCTCCGTTGGTGGGTCTTATAAATTTCAATACCACTAAGCAGTGAGACCGCCTACCAGTCCACATGCAGCTGGCCACAATTGCGTGTGACACCGTTTGTGCGTGCGTGTGATTTCAGATCCACATGCTGACCGACGGCGGCATCCACAAGGAGGTGGTGCTGGGCCACCCTCTGCACAAGCAAGGCGCCAAGTTTGCCGTCATGATCCCCAAGGGCACCTACTGCATCTTCGAGTCGCTCTCTGAGGACGACGCCGCCTTCGTCACCTACGTCGCTATCCCCGGTAGGCAGAATGCATCGACACAATCCCACCTGAGGCTCTTTGAGCTTCTGTAGTACTGAACAAACCGTTTTCGAGATCACATTTTCACAGTCGATGTACAACCGGTCCATATTTTGTGCATCGTAATGCTCGAGTTGATTCACTGTGCGTAGACCTACCGGACTCTGTGTGGGTGGCTATTACATTTTGTAATCGTTTCGTGGTCATTTTGCGAAGCTGATTTGTCTAAGCGATTTGGCTGTCGTGGTGGTTGGGTCTGGTGATGCTCTTTTGCCCAGGTTCTGACCCATTCGCCCTCACCCTTCGATAGCCTGGAACCCGGCCAACTCGCACAACTACTCCCAGAAGGAGATGGAGGCCAAGTTCCCCGACTTCAGCAACATGTTCCACGAGCTCTCTAAGCCCGGCGTGCACGAGCACGAGCACGGCGACGAGGATTACGATCACGAGCACGACGAGCACGACCACGACGACCACGACGAGCACGACCACGGCCCCCAGCGCCGCCGCCTCCGCCGCTTCCGCGGCCGTGGCCGCCGCTTCGGCGGACGCCACTAAATCCCTGCTGACGAGACTCTGAGGCAGCACGGTCATCGACCGACGCAGGGCACTGGCGGACGGAACGAAGCCATGCTCAAAGCAAGTCACTTTGAAGTTGTTTTACAATATGACGCGATGTACATCCCATCATCGTTCCTTGTGCAATACAATTATAATTGTTTGACCACGAACTGTGTTTGACCTGCCTTTGTTTTCAACGACGCAAATCTTAGAAAATTACTTTTAATTATTCTGCCTACCTCGAACTTTCAACCGATAGCATAGGTACTATTTAGTAAGAAAAAAGCACGGAGAAACTACATATCAGTACATATCAGAGAAACTGTTGTTTGTTTGAGACTCATGAGAGGGTGTTTTTGTTTGAGAGGGTTTTGAACACTATTCGTCCAAAATAGGCGCATTTCAATTTTCTCCCTTTGACTTATAATGGAGAGGTTGCGAAATTGACCAGACCTTAGGTCACCGATATCAAAATTCCGAGATACACATTTTGTACATACTTTTACTCTTATCATCGCTGAAAGTTTTAAGGCGATCGTTCAGTCGGTGTAGCTATGACGAGGATTGCAACTTTTTCTGAGGTGAGGTCACTTGACGTGACCCTGTGACCTGACCTTGAGAGCCCTGGGTCTGAAATTCTTACAACGCATGTAGAAAAGATGCATGAAGAGGTGTGCTAAAAAAGCCGCGCTCCGCGCCGCCGTTTTTGAGATATCCTCTTGGTTCTTTTTGTATACTGGGGTATACATCGTCCTAAGTCGATCTATACGGAATTCACTAATGGCTAGGCTATTTCGTGGCCATGCGTTGCAGTGCCATGGTCCGCCACCTGGTGGCTGAATTTATATCCTCAAGTTGAATTTGTTGACGCCTCCAGCGCTTCAATCTTCCCGGTATCTCGGCGGTCGCAGCATAGAGGTACGTCTCCTAATTATTTTCCTGTTATTTCTTTTTAAGAGTATGACTCATCGAAAACTGTTGTTTTGCTAACATAACCATTCGTCGTTGATCATTGCTTGCAGGTTTTGTAAACAACATTGTGTGTTTGGAACTTTTCCAGAAAGAATTAAAGTTCATGTATAGGTACTAAGGTATACAAATGTCCTTGGCCCGAAAAATTTTGAGACGTGCTTAAAGGAAATAGTTCACATTTTAACATGGGTTTTGAACTGGAATAGCAGTTCCGTAGCTTGGGCTGAGACGAGCATAAATCAGGAGCTTTTACAGCCCAACGATCACCCTAGGCAAAGATATTCTATTTCTCGTCCCGAAAAATGTGCCTTGCGTTGAGGATGTGTGCCTTGCATATATTCGCATCCAGTATGAAACGAGCATGGGTCCCGAAAATTCTTCAGAAACTAGAGAAATTATCTACGAGAACTCTTGAGAAATTCGCTCCAGTGAGGCGCTCCAGTAACAAAAGCACGAGCAGATCGCCCAAATGCCGGTGGCCGCGATTTCTCTAGTTTCTGAAGAATTTTCGGGACCCATGCTCTTTTCATACTGGATCGCTTGTGCCTTACAGAAACTGAAAAGTTCTTCCTATATCAAAAATATAGAAAATAATATTTTGTTATAAAAAGGATTTATTTTCTTTGCTGATCATTTTGAACATAAAAAATCACAAATCCATTGCAAAAAAATAATTTCGTGAAAGTGAACTATTTCCTTTAAGAAGTAGCACTATACTCTGTTTCGTTTCAAGTTTGCAGCCGAAGTGCCCTGCTGAAAGCAGTGCGTGATTTCTGTATATACAGCTCTTACATTTTAAGAAGCAAATTCTTAGCGGAGGAGCGATTTGCCGAAGAAATTCCAACTGCAAGCTTGATATGGAACAGACTATACAATTATTCGGAGGAATTGACCTCTGAAAAAAATAAATGTACACCCGAGTGACCAACGGGATCCTGCACGACGGAGAAATGTAAACGTCAGTATACAACGGACTGTGCCTAGGACTAGTCATGTATACTGTAGTATACATGGTTGCTGGGTTAGTTAAAGCCATTTTTTGTGGCTCACAAACAACATTATGCCTTCAAATGGCTCTGTGGTTGAGCGTTAACATTCTTCGAATCGTTGGCGACCTCAATGACCGTAGATCCTCACTCAAAGTTTGATAAATCGCCCGATGAATTAGAATCCGACCCCTAAGCACAATGACATAGGCAAGCACCTCTCTAAAACACACCATACGGCGAATTTTTTTTAGAGATGTCGCTTCAGATAATGCTGCAAGGTCTTCATCTACTGTTTATCGATTCGCAACAGGTGCTACAAGTTCTATATCTTCAAAGGAAATGGCAACTAAAGACCTAAGAGCAGTGGGCAAGGGCAGAAGAAGCTGAAGTTAAGGGCGAGTGGTGTTGATAATTAAACGTGTCAATACTATTAGCCATTTTACGTCCTAAACAAACGAAAAAATACACTTTGGTGTTTGTATGGAAGTTTTCATGGATTGCATTTCAGTCATATTTTATAGGCTTTGAGTATTTTTGTATATCCCAGTATACATGTCACTGCGCATGCGCGATGACCTTCACGGCTGAAATGTCACCAATCTGGTCATTATTGGCACCAAAGCTCTCAGCTAAAAAAGTTTCGTTGCTCTCCATTCATGGGCGAATTGGCGGGACTCAAGAGGATATCTGCGAAAAACCGCAAGAGGGGGGTGTTCAAACACCCCCCCCCCCGGCCCGGCACGGGTTACAGCACGGCTCCAGACTAAATCAGACGGGTGCGATGTGAGCCAGATGCGCGTTCTATGTCGGGGCCGCCACGGGGGCTGGTCGCACCGGCCGCACAGGGGCGCTCATGGGGTGTCTTCGAGAGGCGTTGGATTACAGGAATGGTTCAGGTTAGGGAGGGACTAGGAGGTCACCTGGGCAGGAGGCGCAGTGTCCGCATAATCTAGGGTGAGCTGTTATTGCGATAGAAATCTTGTGCAAAGAAGTGAGGCGTTGAGACAATGTAGAATGCTGCAGAACCCGTAATCGGATCGATGTCACTCAGCAATATCCTCTGCAGCGTGGAATTGGATTGCAAAAAGGTCTTCCAGGGCTGGCGGCGGATGTTTTGAAAAATGGACCGTTTGCGAATGTGCATATTCAGATTGTTAGCGCTGAAAAACTATACTGTTACAGCGTAAACAGAACTCGTACTGACTCGCGTGGTTGACGGTAGTGATGTCTTTTTTTTTTCGTGTCAGGGAGATTGCGAGCTCTGCACTTTTCTCATCAGTTAGGTTTCACTGTTCAAGGAGTACCTTAGCGTTCTAACTCGGTGGGCTGTAACGATGACCAGGTCACGACAGGGCAGTATTAAGTGGTCCAAACATTAATACTCAGTACTCACATGTGCTTCGTAGACTGAATCATCTTTTCAAGATATGACTGTTGTGTTGAGTAAAGTGGGAATGCGCACACAGTTATGTATCGCTCCGTAATGTAGAATGCGGCAGGATGTAACGTTTCCCAATCGTTACTCTTACACACGCAGGTATTGCTTTGGTTACGGAGCGAGCGAAGCGAGCGTAGTCTTTCCTTAGATTAACGGAAATTTCTGAGTATGAGCGGCCGGCCGGCCGGCCGGCCGTGCGGACGCTTTTGCGAGGCTTATATCTCAGCAACCACTTGACCGATTTACACGCGGTAATTTTTGTAGGGTAGCTTCATTCCTTCTACCAAGTATTGGACTATTCCCGATGCATGTGGGTGACCCCTTATGCACGTGCCACGTGCAAAACGAAGAGGTGTCAGTTTTGTAATTGTTGCAATATCTCGGTAACTACTTGGCCGACTGCGCTGAAAGTTGGCATGTAGGTAGGCACCCACCAGGCACTGCATATCCATGTGCCAGAGTTGGGGTGCTGCTGCACGTGCGCACGTGCAGGGGTCGTTTCCAGATCTCGAGAACGGGTGGACCGATGACGCTCAAATTTGGTACACGGTTAGGGACCAGTCAGTAGGGTGCCGTGCACAAGTCAGTTGGGACCCATTTTGCACGTGCGCACGTGCAGGGTGCCGCTTCCAGATCTCGAGAACGGCTGGGCCGATTATGCTCAAATTTGGCACATCGCTAGAGACCGGTTAGTAGGGTGCCGTGCACAAGTCAGTTGGAGGTACTCCCTCGCAATTTCGCACGTGCAAGGCCCACCCTCTCGCTCGCTCCGTTAGTCGCCCCAAAAGGCGTTATACTGGTATAGTATTCTGTATGCTGGTTTTGTATTTAATGAATACATATACATATCTATTTGTAATATGTCGACTCTGTGATGCTGTAGTTTCTTTGTAAATATCACCCCGTGTTAGGTATGAGAACACATCCGCCACAGAGAACGATCAGAAGCTTCTTAGAGAATTATTGAGGACCCTAAGAAGCCAATGTCATCACCGTTGAGGTGTCTGCGGTCTCTACATTCAAGCCACATTCACGCTAGGCTATTCCTATCTGCTGGTGGGATGGAGAGAGGCAGTTTCCGATGAAATTGATATGTTAATGGGTCGGTATATAGGGCCTTGAATGGGTCAGTGCTTTTGCGATGAACATAGGAAGTGTGTGGAGAATCTTTTATTGAACATATAAAATTAAAGCCAATCAGCTTCCGTGTAATATCTAGCCTCTACCGAAGATGGAAATTAGCTGTCCTTATATGAAAATATTTTTAGAGGAGCATAAATACAGGGTGGGGCAGAAATATTTACCTGTTTGTTTTCAGTTCATATACCTAACTCAAAAAGTTATGAACGGATTTTGATAAAATTTTGCATGCGGCTTCCCAACTGACTCGTGTATCAACATTGAAATCGTTTTTACATTTTGTTACGAGCGAGCGAGCGCAGCGAGCGAAGCGAAGTCTTTTCAATATAACGGAAAAATCTCGGTATGAGCGTCCCGGCCCGGCCTGTAACTCTTTTGAGAGGCTTATATCTAAGCAACCGCTGGACCGATTGGCCTGCGGTCTTTTTTCTGGGTAGCCCCATCCCTTCTACCCCGTAATTGACTACTTTTGACACATCTCAGTGACCGTCGTGGCACGTGAAAGGTCAAGGGTGTTCAAACTGTTTTGCAAAAGTAGTGAATTTGGGAGGCTCATATCTCAGCAGCCGCTTGGGCGATTGTCTTGCGGTAATTTGTGTAGGGTAGCTGCATCCCTTCTACCAAAGGTCGG